CATTTTCAAATTGATGAAAATGACAGAATGATGGTTGTGAGAAGTAACCTGTAAATTTATTTCAATGAACCAGGGAATCGAATATCTTGATGGTGAACATCCTCTAATACGAGTCCAATGAATTTTTGGAAAACGCTTAATCTTGTGTTCATAAAAACTTTTAGGCATAACACACAATGATATTATTGATGAACTTACATGAAAAAATTATTGAATTTTGGCGATTAGCTCGAGTGTTCACATTATTTCATCATTTAGCATAAGGCTAATACAATATATTGCATATTTTATGGTGCATATTTTCTTAAGCCTTTCGCATAGTTACAGTTCTTCAATAGATTTGTTGATTCCTAAAATATCATATAAATTGAAAAAATAGTAAAGTATTCTCTGAAATATTATTGTCAAAATATCAAAACTAATAAATAACGTTTATAGTCTCATATAAGTAAAAATGCTTAATGGTATGAAATTACTAGAAAAATCAAGTAAAATTGGTTATATTACACAAATGGCCCTAGTCAGGGGATGTAAATAGAAACTTGCTTAAAAAGTTGCCTAACATCATTTTTTTGACATAAAAAACAATTGGGATTTTGGGCAAAATCTTAAATCTTGTTTAGATCGCTGCGAGTTTTATGGGATACAGCCTTTTATAATTTTTTTAACATTATTGCTAAAATCAATTTGAATGACGAACTGGTTTGAACTGTCTTGATTTATCGTGTAGTCTTTCGGTATATATGATGGATCATAAACATTACCAAACTGCACAAATGCACCCGTCATGATGGAGTACCTTAGCATTTCTGCACGGCACAAAGTCAAGATCTATAGTGTTATAATTGGGACACTTGAGTGTATCATCTTCAAAGTACCAAAATTGACAGTCATTATAATCTTATCAAAACTCAAGGACCTAAAAAGCGTAAGAGGAAAGCCAAGAATAATGCCTAATAAAGTATACGAATGTTGCGAAAAGTTGACTTGAAATGCATATATAAGACCGTCTTTAAGTAGTTGAGATTAAGAGCGTTGAGGTGACATAAGCTGACATGCGATACAAATACTATACCATTTACATACATTTTCCAAGCATTGGAACTCTTGTTGCAATATTCATCTATATATGAATCTCAAGGTGAATGATACTTCAACAACTTCTAATGTTACAAAAAGCCGTCATATATGAATCTCAAGGTGAATGATACTTCAACAACTTCTAATGTTACAAAAAGTCGCCAGGAGAGCAATACTGGATGGACTTAATTTGAGAATCTAATCATATATCTAATTCAATGCAACCATTCTACTTGTAAGTTCCCCACCCCTGTACCCGTTCCTGCCCTAGGGGTCTATGAGGGGAGGGAGGGGGACTTTCCCCTTTCTCTCGGCTGAGTTTGTCCTCTAGTTCCAACATAGACTACCCTCACCTACCCCACCCCCCAACACTCGCAGAAGTAGCAAAAAGAGAGACTAAGCATGAGGAATCTAAGCACTAAACAAACCCACAAAAGATGGAAGATCATACCTTATCTTACCGAAAGCATCATGTCATAACAATCAACAAGACACCACTAAAGCTATCAGTTCAAAGCCATCTCCACCAGAAATGACTTCTGAATATGACATACAAAAAAGTAACAAGTACAACCAATGGGGTTTCACAATCAGATGGTATTAGAGATAGCACCCATCTACTCATACTATTTAGCTGCACAAACCATATGAACCGTAATAATAATGACTATTATTAGTATATAAAGGCCACCAGACTGGCAAGTCAACCCCATAGACATATATAGAAAATCCCACCAATAGGAAAAAAAAAATTGAAGAAGAAAAGAGAAAAAAGAAAAACCTTTACATCAACCAACCGAAGAAAAATATAGCGTAGCCCCACCACCTATACCCACCCGCCACCAGGCCAATCTTGTCCACTCGAGAATATCGATTCTCTGTTTCTTCAAGAGTACAAATTTGATCCTTTGAATGTTGAAGTAAAAATACCCTAGTTGTATATCTGCTCAAAGTAGAAGTTTCAAGGCCCTCGATACTTGTGGAAGCAGAGACAACCTTGAGCCTGGTCAATAGGGATCATACCTCCACCTCTTGTTGTGTCGATCGCCTCTAACATGGAAACTACCTCATCCATCTCAGGCCGCTTGTCGGGGTTAGCATCCCAGCAGCGCTTCATCACATTTGCCAGAGAACTTGGGCAACACCTTGGTATCTCTGGCCTCAGATTCTGTGGATTCAACTTGAACTTTAGTATCTCCCTAGTTAAAGTAGGGGAGAAAGAAGACAATGGGTTTTGTTCTACAGTGACACTCGGATTCTTATATGTATTCAGGAAAAGGATGGGGATAAGTAGTTATACCTGACGAACTACAGCTGATGTCACTTCTGAAAAACTAAGGTCAGGATATGGCATGTCACAGCAATATATCTCCCATAAGCAGATGCCAAAACTGTACACATCACATTTTCTATTGTATGGGTTGCCATTGAGAACCTGTAATCAACCATTCGACAAGTCACTGCATCTGATAAACAAATGTTTCCTGTTTTGGGTTCTTTTACGAATTTGATTATATAATAAATAAGTGCCCAGTCAAGCAGTAGTACACCCCAACTTTTGTCACAAAGACTGCCCATGCTAACAAAGGGCACTCACAAGCCACCCAATCATTCTACTGGATGAAACATGATTTACATATAGCGGCTATGCATTAAAGGAAGAATCCACTACTTGACTGTAGAGTAGAAAAAAGGCATGCAATGATACAAGCTAAAACACATGTATTTGACAATATACCTCAGGAGCCATGTAGCCAAGGGTCCCAGTCTCCCCGGTCATGTCATTTGGATTAGCGGCCTCAACACGAGCAACCCCAAAATCAGCTATTTTTACGGTGCGTGTCTTGTCTAACAGCATATTTTCGGTCTTTACATCTCTGTGTACAATTTTTTGAGAGTGGAGGTAACTTAACCTACAAAACAGATTGACCTTAAGTACTTAGCTGTGCAAATTCACAGGTCCTGTTTCAGTTCTTAAATTGCCAAGCCGAAAAACAATAAAATACAAAAAACGTACCCTCTTGCAAGATCAAGTGCCATCTGGACAACAACTTTGAAAGCCAGCTTTCTTCTCCTGTTCTTTATGAGGTAAGATTTTAATGCACCTCCAGGGAGATACTCCACTACAACACAACAGATATTACTTGGCATGCCAATGTGACCATTTTCTGTTTGTATGTTTAGCTCTGAAGAGCCCATCGTTGCCCCTATGAACTGCAAATGGAATTAGGCATTAAAGCACAGAATAATGATTTAAAATAAGTAATTAACATAAAGCATGTCATTAGTCTAAGGCAGTTATCATCTTGATATCTAGTGCTTCACAGAAATTAATTTATTACAAACAGTAGGCCCCATAGAACAGTGATAAACAATCGATAATTGAAGTATTGCTCAAACTTATAATATCCTTCAAATCAGCAAAGTCAATAGTAGCATGTACACTGCCCAGATGAAAGACAGTGTTTCACAGATCCATTGTACTCGGTAACTTTATTATGAACCCCCCCCCCCAAAACCAAAACACCCCAAACAAAAAAAAAATGAGTGGAGTCAGAATTGAAAACTTCCGTTGAGCACCTAATAGTATATCATTTTTGATCCCATTATGATGTCCTCTAAATATCCAGCTAGTTTTTTTTCCCTCCTTTTTCATGTTTTGATTTAGTTATTTTGTTCAAACTCCAAATGATCTCTTTGACTACATCCATCAGAAACTCATCATGTAGAATTCCCAAAAGTACCAGTCTAATTTAGATAGAAGCATCTACAACAGCTATTAATTAAAGAACCCACAAAATCCTTGTGCGACGACTGATATCCATATAAGATCAGTTGACCCAATGAGTGGAACCAAACTCTAGAAAATTTAAGGTTTGGCTCAAAGGACTTCAGTTTTGATATTTCCAGCTCTGCCAAACTAAAATACTCAATTTTTTTCGTATCATGTGACTTCATTCATTCCAAAACGAAAGACAGTTTATGTCATGGTCGTTACAAAAATGTTATTGGCTTATTCTTTTGCATAGGAATTCTCACTAAAAAATCTGCTTGTGAAGTAATTTACTCATAGATTAAGCATTGAATAGTTTAACCAATCTGCCAGCATAAACTGACAGAGAGTGGTGAATTCATTTGATTTTATTAAGGTCTTCCTCTTCGAGTATTCATTATTTGCCTCATGTCTGGCCTCTCAATCTCACACACAAGCATTATGAATTAAAGCATAGATTTTTGTGTGATACAAACACAAGCGCCCCCCTCCCCCAAAAAAAGAAAAAAGAAAACAACAAAAAAATAAAAAAAGGAAACCTTTTTTTGTTCCCAAAACTAAAAGAATAAATAAGGATGAAGTAACCATAGACAAAAAAAATGCTCAAGTATGGCCTATAAGCCAAATTAAAGGAAGTCCAGCGAGAATTACCTATACATGAGAAGATTAGACCCTTGAAGCAACAAACTTTTCTAGGAAAAACACAAAAAGATAATGATACATGCCACAAGAAGTTTTATAGACATTTATAGAATATCTAGCAGATGATCCTAACTATAGGTGGTTATGCCTTTGATAAATGTCTCTACCCAAAATCAAGGCTTTTTAAGGAAATTGCTCTATGCTAAAGTCCACTCCCAACAAGAAGAATCCCATAATGTACTTAAGCCAAAACAAAACAATGGAAAACACACCATTGGCTGACTTAGTATATGAGTCAGGTATAGCAGAGTACCAACCTGATGGCGGTCTATAACAAATGACTCCATGGGTATGGTTCCAGCACAAACGAACTTTTTTTTCAAATTTAAGCCACGGAACTCATCCCGACATGAAAATACCACTTAGAAGTGTGTAGAAAAAATTGAATCTGGCCATAGGATTATACAATCAAAGCGTACAGGTTCAAGATGGAGAAATTGACCTTGGTTACATTAGGATGGTCAAGTTTATGCCACACAACAACTTCTTGTGTGAAAGCAGCCCTCAGTGATGCTATTTCAGTTTCTGTCCTGTGGCCTTCTTCACCCCAGTCCAGCAGTTTAACTGAGGATTTTAAAAGGAGACAAAAACAAAGAATAAACATATTAGTCCTGATGAATTGAAACCAGGTTCTTGTAGAATTCCATAGTATTACGAAAATAGACAAGTGAATTTTGCAAAATAGAAAATTAAAAAAAAAAATAGAAAAGACAGTGAATAATTTCACATCAGGACGTAAACAGTAAAAATGGTGACATTTGCAACTATGACGTACAACAAAAAATTAAAAAAAAAAAATCATAAACTAAGATGAGATCCTGATTTTTAGCTAAAGGTTGGCATTACTTGGTGCCTGTCTTACTTTATAGCTATTAACTACCAACTTGGATCACATGAAAGTTCAGAAATACAACAGCAGCCAAAGTTATTGCAGTCACCTGCAAATTCAATCCAAACCCGTGCCATAAGTCACGGATTCCATAAGAGTACATTGACAATAGATAGCCATTCATCCAAGCCGAACCACAACTCCTCCAACCCACCAAAACCCCCCAAACACCCCACAGGAGCCAAAAACAAGTAAATAAATATCTATGGAGGCTACAAGAAATGAAAAACCTATCAAAAAGGGTAAAAGAGAACCCCAGAAAATATGTTGGGAGACATTGAAATAATTCACCAATTTGCAAATTGGACCACATAAAGTTTGGAAGAATAAAGATGAATCGCAGAACGGCCCACGTAATCTAACACTAGTCCAACCAAACTAAAGTGGCCTTCAATACAAACATTCATCAGAGTTTTAAATTCAATCAGCCACCATACCAACGTTAATTTTAGCAAAAGACAATAATTTAGCACAAAATCAACCAAATGGGTATCACAAATTGATCTCTTTTTCCAATAATGGCAGTAGCAAAGTACAGATTTTTGATAGAGAAAGAATCATAAATTCATAATAAGGTGAATAAATCAACAAAAAAAAATAGAGGAAAAGAACACAATGACAGAGGAAAGTAAGGAAGAAAAGTGGGTGACTGACCGGCGACATCTTGGCCGTCATAGATGCCACGGTGGACGGTGCCGAAAGTGCCACGAGCAAGGACACCCTTGATGATGAGCTTGGAAGGGTCGATCTCCCACTCATGTCTCTGCCTGGTGGTTGTGGTGGTGGTGTAGTTGACGGTGGCGGTGGCGGTGGCGGTGGTGGCAAAGTCAGAGTCTTGTTGTTTCCTGTTCTTTTCCATAGTCCATGCTCTGTGTAGGTGTCTCTCTAGTTGCTCATCCAAGCTCTTCAGATCAATCTGATCTGCCCTCACAAACCCATCACTACTCTTCTCCATCCCTCTCCCTCCCTCCCTTAAACAATCACAAGAAACTCTCTTTCTCTCACTAAATCACTGTTCCCTCTCTCTCTTTGGTTCTGGGTGTATTGGGTTCTCTCTCTCTCTCTCTCTCTCTCTCTGTGTTTTAGTACTTCTATGGTGCTGCTTCTACGATATGTAGCCAATGAATGTATCAGGGGACTAGTGTAGTAATGGTGTATATGTATTCTTCAGCAACGCCATGTGGGCACATGGAATTGCCTGATCACAACGTGTGTTTCTGACCCACTTTGCTCACCCCCTCGTCTTTCTCCCACATTTTCAATTTTTCCTTATTTACTATATATTTATTCATCTTTTTCAATAATGGGCATGCAAATCTATCATTGACCACCCTTTTAATACCACTCTATTTAATTTCATTGACCTTCTAAAATCTTACTTATTAAAATGGTAAAGAGATTTGTCTTTGGATTAATTATAAAATTTACACTCTTTTTTTCAATCATGCACACTGACAAATTGTTAGGATAACATAGTTTTTTTTTTTTTTTTTTACGGTTAGAATTGTTTGAGCCAACTTACGCACATTTTGACTATTTTTTTTCATGATCCGATTAAAAACAGATCATCCACTAGTTAGTTTTTCCAAGGAGATAGCGTTTCAATGGTTATCTCTACCCTAAAATTCGAGTTTTATACAAAATCAATTAAAGAGTAATGCCACAGATTAAGTTTAGAACTTAACTAATGATTTAATTTACTGTAACTATGAGATTATTTATGAATTTTAAAATTGGATGAAGCTCATTTTTACTTCAACAATTACAATTGATTAAGCCTCTAAATTAAATTCAAATAACGTTGGTTCTTAATTAAAAATGTGCAGAATCATTGAATTCAACTAGATTCTTCATCAGTACATGATAAATATATTGAGAAAATTTTTATAAATATTAAATTATTTATAATGAATTCAAGTGAATTCTCCAACTCCTTTTCAAGAGAACAAATAGACTGAAATAATATATAATGGATCCTCTAGCGACATTATACAAGATTACAAATTAATCTTTTCCAACACCTTTGTATTTTTTTTTTCCCTGATGAAATTGAAACCATTTCAACAGCCCAAAGGAAACTAAAAAACTAGGGGAAATAAAGTCCTCCCGTGAGATCCTAATCAACTCTCGTGAATGTGGTCCAATTTCAAAAGATGTAGCCTTCACATGCACATTGAAATTTTTACCACTGTCTCATTCCAACACCCCCCCCCCCCCCTCCCCAACCTCCAAACCCAATCAGCCACCCATTAATATTTTTTTTAGTTTAACAGTGAAGTTTTAGGGGTCAATTTACACGTATTTTGACTAATTTATTTTGCGACTTGGTCAACGACAAGTTATCCACGAGGGAAATAGGGTATTTATGAGAGGTAAATCTCTCATGACCTGACCCTAAGAAATTACCAAAATTCAAACTCATGACGTCTAAATTTATAACTCGTTGATCCTACCATTAAGCTAACCTAATAATCCCCATCTATTAATGTTCCCTTTCCATTCTCATGTAATAGTCCCCTATCTTTTATTTTTCCTTCCTTTTTTGCATTAATTTTTTAAAGGATGAAAAGTCATGCATGTCTCTATCATCTCCCCCTCTAATATTAGTAGAGGTTTTGATTCTGGGTTTGGGTTAACTCCATTTCTCATGGTTTTTGCCTTTTTGGATTGGACATAAATGCCGATTTATCTAGTGTAGAGAAGTTTCTAGCATGCGTAGGATATATTGATACGTTTCTTGCATATGCTGAAAAATATGATTTGAATACTAACATTGGTAGCTTCTTACAAGTATAAACATGATTCGCCAATCAAATACAAGTTTCATTACAAATTTATCAATTTAGTTTAAGTCTTAATAGGTCTAATTAAAATCAAGTTTACAAGGTATATCCTTTTAGTAAATGAGACGATATCAAACTCGGCTATTCGCAAATATAAAATATGTTGAATATGAATTGAACATATTCATATTCAAAGGTATGAATTTGATCTCTACAGACAACTCTTATTTCCTTTCTCTTAGGAAGATGCTAGATAAATCATTGTACATCAAACAAATAATTGCCATTATATAAAAGTACCATTTGAAATAGTTAGGCATTGAGTATGATCCTCAAATTAGGATAATTCTACCTTACCGAAAAATAAATTCGGAGTTATACCGAAAGTTATTACTTTTTAAGATCAACTTACAACTTTTAAATGTGATTGTACAAATTTTAAAGGAATTCATGATCAACCATGAATACCCCCGTGGTCCAAAAATTAATTTTAACTTTATTTTTAAAAATATAACTTAATTTTTAAAAATTGTAAATTTCATAAATGATGATAATATTTTAAAATCGATTACGCTTTTTACAAATATAATTTTTACTTCAAAAAGTTAAAATTCAACTTTAAAAATTCGTAAATTTTGGTACGGTACCGAATTCGACACCGTAGTCATCCTCTTCAAAGCAGATACCAAAATGACACATCCTACCTACACCATAAACATGGAGTTTTGGTGGTCAATCAATCATGAATTTTAGGTACATCTAGGGGTTAGTGATATCATCCATTGAACTATGAAATAAACATATTATTTTTCAGTTGACTGATACAGGAGGGCATTTCATGTGCATTCTTTTTTCAGTCCAGAAAAAGCTTTAACCAAGTATGCACTAGCATAAGAGTCCTATATTGACTCCTACACTAAAGAAAACGACATTATTGTAGTATATACTGAATAGACTTTGGGACCTTATCCAATTTCCATTAGTCCATTGCAATGGATCAAAATTCAACACCTTCAAAGTAAATGGACTCAAATCACTTATTTAGGAGGATCAACGGTTGACCCTAATGATCATTGCAGTCTGTTATTCGATTGTTAGGTCGCAGTTTCAAACTTAACCAGTTATTTCATCTGTAACAATTTTTTTTTGGTTTAATGGTTAGATGTGTCTGGTTCTGCTTATATACATCTCAATTAATTCTCTCTCCAGTCCAATCAAAGATAAGTTATCTACACTAGTATTAAGATATTCAGGAGAGATAATCCCTCATGGTTTGGGCCCACATGATTGTCAAGAGTTGAACTCTGGACGTCGGGTTTACAACTCGTATTTATTATCATTTAAACTACTTTTTTGAGTTTTCCTGTTGTAGTTTCAAATAATGACCAAATCATCCATTTAGGGTATTTGTTTATATGATGACGTCAACCTAACCCCAATCATCTGATCAAGTTAATTTGTTACTAATTAATTGTTACTAATCATCTGATCATGTAATTGTTTTTTTTTTTTTTTGGGTATAACAATGAGAGAAAAGGGATTTGAAATTAGTTTGTTCCAATTGTGAGAGGTGACACTTTGCTGCTAAATAGATCTATCTTCAACTTTCCATCCAACAAGATTTTTTGGCACTGTAAATTTTTTTATTACTTTATTATTTTATGAATCAATGGTTCTAAATTATCTAAACAAAAATCAACGGCTGAAAATGAATTAGAAGCGTATACTTATTAGAATAACAACAAATTGGTAGTTTTTAAGGGAACTTTTGTACGAGGGGATGAAATGGACTCTCTCTCTCTCACATTTTACAAACAGGCCTTGTAAATATGAATCAGGATTGACTTTAAAGGGGCCTTCCCTTCCCTTTGTGATATACGTGAAGGTTGTTGATGGGCCTCTCACAATGGGCCTGTTTTCTTTAATGAGAATTTCAACAAATAGAAAAAGAGAAAAAAAAAATGGGTATTATCAAATATACAGTTTTATGTTAAGAAAAAGAAAAAAAAATGCTGAAACAATGTGCTCTCCTTCCCTCGTTGGTGCTCCTTGTCTTTCAAGTTCGGAATTTTTCTTGTACAATTAATTTGAGTCCGTTGACAAAGGATACACTATAAACAAATACTAACCAGCGAATTCAATTAATATTCGTCTTGTTTAGATTTATCTATAAAACATTATAGGTTTAACTTTGGACGTTAATGTCTTGTCTTTGACTAAATCGGAGAAGAGATTAATCGAAATATATATAAACTAGTCCAAACACTCTTAACCGTTGAAAAAAAAAAACTTTTAGAGACCATGTGAAAGCTAAAGGCCTCAGTAAACTCGTGGATTTGGGCTTGATCCATCCTCAACCTCTTCATCAATCATCATTTCATACACATTACTGCCCAAGCAGTTGCTATAATATGAGCATCAAACCTACTCATAAACTGCTGCGGTTGTTGAATTTTTTGTTTTTGTCAATCAACATTATAAGGAGGGGGTAACAATGTTTGAATCCGCGACGGTAACGTCCAACAACAGAGACAATCATTATTAGGCCAACTAAATTAACCTTGGGCCAATAAGAGGCCTACTTAGCAGGCCTTAACTTTTCAGGATTTTGGTTTAGAAGACTATATTCATGTGTTCAACATGGATTCTAGGCTACTTTTGAGGCAAACTAAGCATGTTCGAGTATTTTCTCCATTAGGGTTTTTTCTCCTCACCCGGCTTAGGTGTTGATCGAGCTAAGTCTTATACTTTTCGTATATTTAGAATTGGCTTAAATTAACTACCATAGTGCCGAGTTTAAATTCTTGATTAAGCTCATTCTGTCACCAACTGAGCTAATCCTATCACATTTTTTTTTCTCATATTCAAAATTTCGATATTTAAACGATTCTTGAACAAAAAAAGATTATATATTTGATTGGATCCCGTCAATTTATATATGGTCCATAGTAAAGGGATCCCACTATATAATCAAAAAATAACTTTCTAGTATGGTAATTACCTCCTACAATTTCCACCAAATCAGAACATAATACATGTGAAATTCTATGTTTTATTATATTTTTTCTTCATTTTTACTTTTAAGATTAACATGACAAAGAAACCAATACGACTAGAATCTATTTTTTGGTATGCTACTTAAAAAAAATAGTTACATGTATGTAATAAAGTAGTGTACAATTCAAATCTCAAAAATAAACAAAATGACTTTTGTTATTCGCGGTTGAGATCGTTTTTAATTTTACTTATAACGTTAATCTAA